TACTATTTAATCTATATATATATATATATATATATATTATATATATATATATATATATATATATATATATGTATGTATGTATAGTATAGTATGTATAGTATGTATATATACTATATATATATATATATATATATATATATATATGTATGTATATATATATATATGTGTGTGTGTGTATACATGCACATATATATCCAGCGTTCTCAGATATGAACCCCTCCTTCATACACCTACGCACGCCCAGGTGGGTGCGCCAGATGTGGTGATCCCCACCATAGACACCGTGCGCCATGAAGAGTTGCTGTACACGTGGTTGGCCGATCACAAGCCAGTGGTGCTGTGTGGCCCACCTGGCAGTGGCAAGACCATGACGTTGTTCAGTGCGTTGCGCTCGCTGACGGATATGGAAGTGGTAGGTATCAACTTTTCATCGGCAACGAGTCCCGAGCTGTTGCTGAAGACCTTCGACCGCTACTGTGAGTACAAACGGACGTCCACCGGCACAGTGCTGTCACCCATTCAACCGGGTATGTGTTGGATGTTGGTGGGTATATGGATGGATATCTGTATGCATGTATGTATGTATGTGTGTGCTTGTATAACTGTTTACGTTTGTTACTGGTTGTGTGTATCATCGTGTCAGATGGTTGCATTTATTTATGTTTGCGTTCATGTGTTAGGTGTTTCCGTTTCCCATCTATAAAGATATGCGGTGGACGCTTACTTCCTTTGTAGTTGCATTAGAGAGTGCTTGTGTCCTCGCATGCAGCACATACTTCTTGGCATTCGCAGTTTTTCTATCTGTTTGATGTTTTTCATGCTTCATATATTCGTTTGGCTGTTGTTGTCTTTGTGCTTTATACCTACACTTGGCTGTTATTAATATCTGCTTCTTATCTACGCTTGGCTGTCATGGCTGTGTAGGTAAGTGGCTGGTGCTGTTCTGCGACGAAATCAATCTGCCCGACACCGACGCCTACGGCACACAGCGAGTGATTGCGTTCCTGCGCCAAATGGTAGAGAGAGGGGGCTTTTGGAGGCCTAATACGCACACCTGGGTGCAACTGGAACGCGTGCAGTTTGTGGGCGCATGTAATCCCCCCACTGACCCTGGGCGAAAGCCGCTGTCTCTGCGGTTTACTAGGTACGTGGTTGGTTGAGTGGTGCGAGACTATGTGTTATATATATATATATATATATAAGATAAGTATGCGTGTGTGTGTTCTTTACAGGTATGTTGCGCACCTTTAAGCCTATAGTACATTGCAGGTGTGTGTTTGATGCACACGTGGTTAAATTGTCGTCCATACGTATCTACTTGGTGGGCCATACCTGAGCACACGTACACGTACTACCCACGTTCTGTTCTCCTACCAACTGCCTATGCCAAGCACTTGCAGTGGGCGTAGGGACGGCCTTCACTGCCTACCTACGCGTTGTGCCTACCTACGCTTTGTTTGTCGTGTAGCAACTGATATTGACCTCAGCGCTTCTCCATGCAAACAGTGTCACCCTCGTACCACCTGTACTCTGTGGGTTGTATATGTACGCCGTTGCCTTCACCGAACAAACTTTGTGGAGAACAACACCGCACCAAACACATCGTTTTAAGCTACTACACCAGATGTCTTTGTACACACGATGCGTTAAGCTACTACAGTAGTTGTCGATATACACACAATACGTTAAGCTACTACACGAGATGTCCGTATACACACAATACGTTCAACTACTACACCAGATGTCTTTGTACACCCGATGCGTTAAGCTACTACACCAGATGTCTTTGTACACCCGATGCGTTAAGCTACTACAGTAGTTGTCGATATACACACAATACGCTAAGCTACTACACGAGATGTCCGTATACACAATACGTTCAACTACTACACCAGATGTCTTTGTACACACGATGCGTTGAGCTACTACAGTAGTTGTCGATATACACACAATACGTTAAGCTACTACACGAGATGTCCGTATACACACAATACGTTCAACTACGACACCAGACGTCTTTGTATACACTATGCGTTAAGCTACTACACCAGATGTCTATATACACACAATACGTTCAACTACTACACCAGATGTCTTTATACACACAATACGTTAAGCTACTACACGAGATGTCCGTATACACACAATACGTTCAACTACTACACCAGACGTCTTTGTATACACGATGCGTTAAGCTACTACACCAGATGTTTTTATACACACAATACGTTCAACTACTACACCAGATGTCTTTATACTCACAATACGTTAAGCTACTACAGTAGTTGTCTATACACACACAATACGTTAAGTTATTACACGAGATGTCTGTATACACACAATACGTTCAACTACTACATCAGATGTCTATATACACAATACGTTAAGCAACTAACCAGATGTCCATATACACGCACCTCGTTGGTGTCTGTGCTTGTCTCGCCATCCATGTGTCTATGCTTGTCTCATGTGTTTGCGGCCGTTCATCTGCAGGCACGTGCCCGTGGTGCTGGTTGATTATCCAGGAGAGGAGTCGCTCAAGCAGATCTACCGCACCTTCAACCGAGCACTGCTGCGACTGTTCCCTCACCTCAGAGCGTACGCAGAGAATGTCACAGACGCAATGGTACAGATGTACCTGGAATCACAGCAGCACTTCACAGTCGACGACCAGCCCCACTATGTCTACTCGCCTCGGTGCGTGCTATGTATAAATTGCGTGTGCGCTATTTATAGATTGCGTGTGTGATATTTATAGATTGCGTGTGTGCTATTACAGATTGCGTGCGTGCTATTTTTATATTGCTTGTGTGCTATTTAAAGACTAGTGAGTGTATCGAAAAGTGTCGTGTGATTTATTTGTGCTATTTATAGACTGCGTGTGTGCTATTTATAGACTGCTGTGTGCTATTTATACATTGCCTGTGTGCTGTCTATAGACGTGAGTGTATCACAAAGTGTCGTGTGATTTGGTTGTGCCGCATTCTATTCCTTTCTGTGTCAATTGCCACAACTGGACCTGTCTCCATCGGATAGTTCAAAGCTGCTAGATGGACAACCTCAGTGTAGTACGCTTCAGTGTAGTACGATTATATCTAGATAGAGCGCCCTTCCACAACATCTGTGCCATCCGCACTTTCAGTGAACTGGTTCAGTGTTTGTCTTCTGTTATATGGCCAGCATACAATGCAAGAACATGCAATGCAAGAGCAAGAGCAGGCCTTTTAGAGATCGCCTTTTAGAGATCTACATGTGTGCGCATGAACGCATTGTACCACGTGCATGTCGCCCTGCTGAAGCCTTTCGGATGATGAGAAACAAGCTGGTGTCTAAACCCCTAAACCCTAAAACACGCGTGTATGTATACTACATGTTATTCTGAACTCACGTACGATGGGTGACAGGCGATCAGAAACGGGCATACCGGGAGGATAAAAACACGCATATATACTTGCACACTCTAGTATTTGCTATTTTTCAATCACGAACTAATCTGCCTATTGCACTAGTAGAGTGAACATACACTTATAAATACCGGTACATACCAGTATCTGCTATCCCCAACTCACTATCTAACCAACATCTTAAAGAAAGTGAACACGCACTTACATACCTGTACTCACTAGTATCTGCTCTCCCCCACTCACTCCCCACTCCACACCTCTGGCACTGCTAGAGAGCTGACTCGGTGGGTACGTGGTGTGTATAAGGCCATTAAGCACGTGGACAACCTGAGTGTGGAGATGCTTGTGCGCGTGTGGGCTCATGAGGCCCTGCGGCTGTTCCAGGATCGGTTGCTAACGGACACTGAGCGCGAGTGGACGGATAACAAGATCGACGAGATAGCCGCCAAGTGGTTCAACGACTGCGATGTCAAGGTTACTACTTGCTTTTACTGTTTGCGAGGTGTCTAGTGTCAGGTGCCAGGTGTCAAGAGCGCAGGGGTGTGGACTTGTGCGATAAGTTGCGTGGGTGTATTGCCTGCGCTGTCCACGTTCGTGTGCGCAGCGTCGAAGTGGGCCCAACGGTGCTCAGTAGGGGCAGTTGTTAGTCTGACTTCGATGTATATATACATAAAGCTATATATATATATATATATATATATAATATTATTATATATTGTTATATTATTATATATTATATATATTATTATATATATATT